TAATGATGGAACCTAGTGACGCGTGAGTCATCTCAGCTTCTACCGTTCTAATGTGTCGAAAATTTATGTTCATTAATTATATAGTTAGGAAACTCCTTGGTCAAGAAACAAAATAGAAGCCGAGTTAGGAACTCCTTGGAAAAGAAACAAAATAGAAGCAGTGCGCAAAAAGAAACATCGGCACTTTCTGGTGGTCCGTCGTCGAGGCAACATCGCTCATGGGTTTTCGACTATTAATATTGGTTTAGCAATTAGTCTAAGGCTATTTTAAGGATATTACTCTGTAAGTACTTTAATTGTTGTTTAACTGGAGTTAGCAGGTTATCATTTCATTCCTTTATTTACCTTTTATATTTGTTCATTTTAATTAATATCGCATAGTCAAATTGTCAAATGTCTTACTGTTATTTTATTTTTAAAAATCCGAACGAAGTTCCTTAATTCAGAAGTGGGATAAAGATCTCTTTTTTATAAATTCTTTGGTCCACCGTATTTTGTTTTCTTTTTGACAATTATGTCTAATAAAATGAATCGTAATCGATCTAAATTAGAAAAAGATTACGCCATGTGAAAAATAGATTGATATCTAGCCCACATAGATACCCTAGGGTGTCCATAGCACGAGTACGTTGTCGTAGATCGAGAAACGAGTCGAGCAGCAGTAAATTTTCTCAACACGCACCCGCATCATACTTACTTGTGATTCATTGAATGATAATTTGAATAACATTTTAGTAAGACTCAAAGCTGTCGATCAGTTTAATAATAGTGTCGTAGAGTTACAACATAATTATCAGGAAATGTTGCTGAATCGGTCGTAAGAAATGTGTCTATAGGTCACAATCACATAGTTAATAGTGGCAACGAATCACCAAACGTAAATAGTTTAGTTAACTTGAGCGATGTCTCTCAGACTACGACTCACGATCAAGATACCACTGTTCGCTATCCCGATACTATGTCAGTTTCGTATTTTACCATTATAACAGAAGCCCTTAAGAATCTCGCACTCATAAAATCGCTTCATTATTACGTGTCAATTTTTGATTCTTCTGATTGATTTATTGTGTCTAGAGGTAGATCGCGCAATGATAGTGGACAGTGGAAGATCATGAGTGTTTTTCCCGGGAAGCATCTTATTTAAAAGGCGACGCCAAAACATAACTAAATTCATAGATCACAAATGGTCGTACATGGATATTTTTAAAACTCATTTAAGACCTCTCTGTCCTCAGAAGTTGGACTCCGTTAACATTTCGTTTGCATGTATGAACACGACATACGCTGGGAATGTGAGACGTACATTATAACGTTTACGATTGGTTAAGGATTTATCTGCAGAACTTCGAATTGTAATAATAAACAAACCAACATTAACAACTTTCAGAATAAAATTATACTCCCGCTGCTAAGTCGTCTTAATACGCGCATTTATTAAAAGTACAGGACACTGTGAAGACGCATGTTTTGTCAAGAATAGGTCAAGATTAACTAACTACCAAAATGTAAGCATATGTTAACCGAAGCTGGTGAGAAATATCGATGTGGTTCCTGCAGTTGATAGTGCATACCGATTAACATATTTATCAATATTGGTGATCACAACATATCACTGATTTCTTCTGACCTTTTTAAATTACTTTATTGCCAATCCAAGTACATGACGTACATTACGAGACGTTAATGAATACGAAACCTTTGCCTTTCCTCACAATACAGTAACTATTGAGTTCAGCAATATTTCATTTTAAGATCTAGTAGTAGTACCGTCAGCTTGCATGAATAACGACAGATGTTTTGAATCGTGTTGGAGTAATCTATGTAAGAGTAACGACAACAGTATATCACTCACGGGGATCAGTCAGGTTAATCAAGTACCACCCATCGAAAACTCTTTATTAAAATCCCTCTGCCAGGTAGTAATCTGCAATCACCAATGTTTGTATTGTCACTTTTCTCGGATTTCCTCGTGTACCGCTGCCACTACAGTACAGTATAGGTGAGATGAACACCAAACTTACTAGTTCAATTCCAATAACTTATCGCCCATACAATTTATTTTACGGGAAGATAGTACAAGTTAGCGAAATAATGAAAGATCTCTTAGATAAAGGCATCATTAGGGAATCTCGATCCCAATATGCCAGTTCAATAATTTCAGTGACGAAAAAGATTTTCGAGTACTTATTCGCAATACAGAGAAGGAAAGATATCCGTTTTCATTTATTGACCATTAAATTGATTTTTTTTTAGGATGACATAACTTCGTCATCGGCCCTGATATGGCGACTTCATGAAATGAGAATCAGGGACGACTGTATTCACTACACAGGCTTCGTTACGTCCGCGTCAGGAGGGAACTACGAATACTGAAAGATGCCATATGGTTTGACAAACTCATCTATTGTTTACAAACCTATTATCAATTAATGATATGCTTCGGGAATTCATTGATTCTGATGACTTGCTCGTTTATATCAACAAAGTACTTCTTCTGAATTTTAATGCTTAAAAAGGTAAAGGTAGAATTCTATTTTTTTTCGATCAATATTAAAATAAAATACTCGTTTCTGAATACCGAATTTGAGAACTTAGACAGACATATAAGTGGTGGTCAGGTTAGCCCGAGCGCTAGAAAGGAGGAGGCTCTGCAATTACATCATTACATGAACTCATCTGCAATTTCATTTTTATTTTATTTTGTTTATTGGAGGAAAAAACAGATCACAGGAGTATAACAAAACAAATATAAACAACAATACAGCATATTAAAGACAAAATACCTGTGTCCTCAAACATTTCTCACCAAGAAATATAACTAAGTAAAAATGAGAGGATGCTTGGGTACGTACCTCACTAATAAATAAATTTGAAAGGCGATGTGTAAACCTAATCTAGTATGTGAAGGGAGCGATAGCGAATGTGCAGAGAATATCCAATACTTAAAACAAACTAAACTAAATTCCCAGTCAATGTAAATGAAAAACAGGACTGCTAGGTGGTTTATTCTTTTTTCAATAATACGTCCCGCAACTTGCTGTGAAACGCGGCAGAGTTATGACATAGAATATCAACCTGAGAAAATTCGTTATGAGTACGACATATTTTTCGTATTGGGGCGCGTAATCCCGCATTCGTGTATGATCGCGGTACATGAAATAGAGATTAATTACAATAGTGAAATAAGGTCAGGGCCTTAAAATATTTCCACCACAATCTAGTTGGCATCCAGTTTAAAATTGTAATCCAATGTAATGTAATGCTCTTAAATCAGCTCAACCAACCACTCAACGTGTGATGCCATGGAATTTAGAATGGTGCCCAGATACTGGTGCTATAGTATTCGATGGTGAAATTTTTGAACTGTTTTGTCACTTTGCTCATTTTCTTTTAACGACTGTTCTCAGAAGCAGTGGTGACAAGTTTCGCGAGACGTCACTTGTCGAGACGGGGACATCCCGCTGGCCTGCAGCTGGTGGAGGTTCGAGACACCGCAGGCGTCTCATTGACCTGCTGCCGGGTGGGAGTTCAAGACGCAAGTCTACTCATCACCACTGGCGTTTGTCGCCTTGGCGTTAGTCGCCTTTGACGTGTGTCGTCAGTTTGCGTTAGTCGCATTGGCGTTTGTCGCCTTGGCGTTAGTCGCCTTTGACGTGTGTCGTCAGTTGCGTTAGTCGCATTGGCGTTTGTCGCCTTGGCGTTAGTCGCCTTTGACGTGTGTCGTCAGTTGCGTTAGTCGCATTGGCGTTTGTCGCCTTGGCGTTAGTCGCCTTTGACGTGTGTCGTCAGTTGCGTTAGTCGCATAGGCGTTTGTCGCCTTGGCGTTAGTCGCCTTTGACGTGTGTCGTCAGTTGCGTTAGTCGCATAGGCGTTTGTCGCCTTGGCGTTAGTCGCCTTTGACGTGTGTCGTCATGTGCGTTAGTCGCACGGGCGTTAGTCGCCCTTAACGTTTGTCCTCAGTTGCATCAGCCGCCATCAGCGTTGGTCGCCACTGACGGGAGCCCCCAGTGGTGGAAGTTGCCGATTGCGTGAGTCGCATTGGCATGAGCTGCACTTCTATGGTATTGGTAGCCCTTCAAAGGCGTGAGTCACCCGACAATGGTAATGTACTGTGGGGATGTGAAATTGTTGGGATACCGTCGATTTCACACCTTTTTCTTTATTTTCACTTTATATGTCTTGGATGCCGTTTAGCTTACATTACTTTGTTTATTTGAAAAACATTTGGACACTACACTCATGCAAACAATAATGTTTCCGATAGTAATGGTGATGTTATTTCAAAATTCAGGATGACAAGGTGCTTCGGCCGGATCGTCTATGCCAAACCTTGAAGACGAAGATCGGGAAGGTGGCGCAGTAGGCGAGGCTACTACTGAAAAACAGAGAGAATGTGGCCGAGGACGACCAGGAGTCAGGAGAGGCCGAGTTAGGAAACTCCTTGGTCAAGAAACAAAATAGAAGCCGAGTTAGGAACTCCTTGGAAAAGAAACAAAATAGAAGCAGTGCGCAAAAAGAAACATCGGCACTTTCTGGTGGTCCGTCGTCGAGGCAACATCGCTCATGGGTTTTCGACTATTAATATTGGTTTAGCAATTAGTCTAAGGCTATTTTAAGGATATTACTCTGTAAGTACTTTAATTGTTGTTTAACTGGAGTTAGCAGGTTATCATTTCATTCCTTTATTTACCTTTTATATTTGTTCATTTTAATTAATATCGCATAGTCAAATTGTCAAATGTCTTACTGTTATTTTATTTTTAAAAATCCGAACGAAGTTCCTTAATATATACATATTATAATATGCATCATCGATTCACAGGTTTAGTTTAAAATATATACGAAACGTAGCTTGATGATAAACTGAAAATTGTGATGAATGACTATAAGTTCAGATTTCATGTATTTTTTTATTAGTTTTTGGTAAAACACGAAAACAATATTGGTGAGTCCCATTACTACAAAGGGTTTCTATCTGTGTTTACAAAGAATTCTATTACCAGTAACTCCCCAAAGGATTCAGGACGGTATGCGAGGTTCGTATCACCTCTCCTGCATATCAATAACATGTTGCTAAACTGACGACATTACTATGTTAACAGAATTATGTACATCTTAACAGGATAGGGCTCCCTTCAACCAACACTTGGGTCACAAATCCTAGACATTGAAGCTCCTCTCCCTGCATCGATGGACCCGACACCCGCATGATCAATCCATTGAATGCTAAGAGGTTTCGTTTCTTTACAGTGAAATCTCTTTAGACTATATTTTTTTTTTCTAGATTTTCCTCTAACTCCGAAAAAACACAATTAATGTAAGCAGCATGCCAAAACATTTTTACGGTTAGCGAATTCAATTCGGGAGAAATTTAAGAAATATTTCTGACCTGACCTTGAAAAATATAAATAATCATTTTACATCGGCAAGTAAAAGAAAGAGAAGACTGAAGAGGTTCACATCAACAGGGAATATTTTTCTCATCTTAAATCCACTTAGTCTTAGCCCTTAGGTTGTACCAACTGCCACCTGATTTCATTTGACTGTACAACGATAGACATTATCTACTACCAGTACTATCTATATGAATTTCTCCTTTTGAATCAAAAAGAAAACACTTGTTCTACTTATTATGTATTATGACCATATTATATTTGCTACAAACTTATCTATCAACTTATAAACATTCTGTTACATACATTTTATTTAAATGAATATCATCTGGATCATTTTTTAAACAATTTCCAAAATTTAAACACGCTACTGAAACCCATTCAAAGATAACGCTCGCTCACATCTTTTATGTAACTATTTCTGCGACTATTAATTCGGTTTTATTTATCTCATTTTTATCTTACCAACGTCTACTGTACAATATAAAAATGATTTTATTATTTTTATACAGAACAATTTCTCTTTAATCTCCTTATCTTCAAAGAATCTATGTTGATACATGTTTCGCTCTTAGTTTAGAAAATAATTGAAAGTCACAGACATACATGTCAGTTAAACGATGGGTAAAACTATGGTTTTTTGAGATATCAGTACACGCCACAATCACGATTTTAAATTGAGTGGTGTTATAGTAATACTAATTTTAAGAATTATCTGTCTAATACATGCAGTGAGGAGACGAGTTTGGAAAGTTTTATAAGAAAAATATTGTGAATTAAGGAAACGAATTGGTGACCTAAAGATGCTGGCTAATTTAGAGATGCTGCGTAGTGCATGAGATATAATTTGTGATAACAACGGTCATGTATACAAGACGTAATTATTACATATATTTTGTTACGATATATATACTATTAAAATAACATATTTGATTAAATATTAATTACAAATAAATAAGAGTTTTAAGAAACTCAATAATTATGCTAGAAAGTGGTAACAATTTAATTTAGAAAATAATTATTGATTATGTTTAGCAGTTAACCAAGATAGCGTCTATTTTTTACGTAACTTAGGAATTCATGAGGTTTAAAATGTCTTTCTGAAATACTTATATAATTTATGCATTTCATTTTAATATGTACCTATTTAATTGAACAATTTATCTAACAATCCCTTGATAACTATCAACTACGAGATTTAAACTCAAATATTCCTCTTAGATATTTTTGTAATCCAACCAGTACATATATTAAAACGGGTCTCATAAATCATGAAGCCACACTTGACCTCACACTACGTATTAATAGAGTCGTTTAAAACTAAATTAATCAGCGTTGGACGTGCGCGACTGACAGCATTGCAGCAATTAGATATTAAAAATGCTATCTGACAAATAATACAATCAAATTAACACGATTGATCTCCACGACCCGATTATGAGACGGCTCGCTGATTGAATAAAAGCTGCCATACACAGACTATTAAATGGATCGTTTGAAGTTATATATGACACAAGTAAAATATTTGTTGCATAGAACCTTAGATATATATATTCTTCTACCTGGCAATTTCCCAGCTTTAACCAGGGTCTACCTTACATGTTGTGAATAGTGTTGGCTAATTGTTTTTACGACCGGCCGCCTGCCTGACATCAACCCTCTTTAGGAATGCATTAATCAGTGATGTTTAAATACTCTTAGAAAGTACATATGACTCGGAAAAATCACAGTGGTACTAGCCAGGGCCAGGATCGAACCCGCGCCCTCGTGCATGAGTGGCGGGCCTTAACCACTTGGTCACCACTGACTGATATATATATGACCTTAATAAAATTGTTAGCAATATAAAACCGTTTAATAAATTTCACACTAATACTCAACAGCGATAATGAACTGATAATTTTTTTTATATATTTACCTAAAACTCACGCTACAACCGACGTCATTATTCACAAGAGTTGCCAAAAGTAAACAGGGAAGTGTTGTTTGTAAATCGCGATAATTGCTCTAAATGGGACCGATATCAAAATTTAACGATAATAACACTATTATTACTTATTATTACTGTTCGCAAATTGAGTGACAAACAACCAAATATTAAATTCAATTTACATATATTGAATGGTTTCGTAAATTCATACAGTTAGCTTTCGTTGGAATCAAATTACGGTGTCAAAAATCAATATACGACGATATTTTGTATAGAAAATAATGTAACGGTGTCAAGTTACATCATACAATCTACTTCTTTATGGTCATTGGTTATGAGCCGATATTTATTTGAAACTTGTAAACATAGGGAAGGAAAACTGAACTCTGTTTGCGGAGTCCACGATAAACTTGTCGTTTATCGATACTAAATACTTATGAATTTTAACCTCACTATCTTTAGGCCTAATGCTAGTAAACATGGGTTGATACCTACTAATATTAAAAATGCGAAAGTAACTCTGTCTGTTACGCTTTCACGCCTAAACCACTGAACTGATTTTAATGAAATTTGATACAGAGATAGAGTTGACCTTGAGTTAGAACATAGGATAGTTTTTATCCCAGAAAGGTTCTCTTGAAAACGCGATTTAAACGAACTCCACACGACCGAAGCTGCGGGCGGAAAGCTAGTTCTAAATAAGATTTGGATTTTAATATTAAAATACTGCTAGTTATACAGAAACGGTTAAATACTAAAAATAAAACATAAATTCGGCATCTGTTTGACACGGAATAATAAGCAGTACATCGTGGTAAGTAGCATCTTAAATGAAATATATTTATCTTACTTCATCAGATTCCAATGAAATTTAGACTTATATTAATAAAAAACTTTTATATTGAGAAATTGAAAGTTGTACATATAAACATATTAATTATTATTAAAGATAGGTTTCACCTCAATATATTTTTGATATAAAAAATTCATGATCGTGTATCCTAAATGATTTTTTTTATTTAATATTGTATAAATAATGAATCCAAAGACCGTTGATAAACGTTCACTGAGTTTATAATAATAAAACATATTATAATTCCGTCAGCGTGTGGCATGAGACGTATTATTTTTAGCTATAAGAATCACTCTCAACATCTTGTCCTGTACAATGCAAATATTAAATATAATCATCAGAAGAAATTAATATACGTATAAATTAACATTTGCATTATAATATTCCACTTTGCTGTACCTAGGTACATAGATATTTCAATAAACTTAATTTTTCAATGCCTCGTATTGATACACGTTCAGTGTATTTTAATATAGTACATTCAATAACAGCGTAATTGTTATAAATATTAAATGGTAATTATATAACATTAATTATTAATGTACAATAATACGATACGATATATATATATATATATATATATATATAAATGAAAATATAACAACAATGAGACCGAGCTAATTCTTTGTGTTGGGTAGTAAGAAAATAGAAAAAACTTTCTACGTACATAGTAACCAGCTATTTACTTTCTAACGTACGGGTTTCTATATATCCATTAAGTACATGTAACACAACACATAACCATTTTCCTTTTGACATCTTTAAGTTACAACATGATTCATAATAATTTCATTGAAATGATTATATCGTTTATTTATAAGAAAAAAAAATATATTTATTTGACGTCACTATCAACCAAATGCAAGTCATAATGTAGTTATTACTGACGATAAAATATTTATTTAATGTAATATATCTGTTCTTGTTATATTATAAATCAATGTGTTCTGTTTTATACAATTAAACAATGATATAAACATTTATTTACTTACGTCAATTAAGCTATTTCTGGATATCATTTTAACTTTGTCCCACAGCTAACCGAAGCACAATTTTTAAGCCAAACCAAGCACACTGGCCTGCCACAAAAACTATTCACAACTTTCAAAGTCTATCGGTATTTAATAAACGCTTTAGCGCGCCACAAACGGCGCTCGTGGGACCGGGTCATTTTTCGCTTTAATATGGAAAATATAAACGACTTGTGAAGTAAACAGAACTTTAGTTTGTCGATCGTATGACAGTTATTGTACGCGGGACACTCGAGTCTTGACAACTAAGACGACGCTCCGACGGGCAACAGTCGACAGTCGACAGCCGACTTGGCAAAACACAAAACTGAATAGTTTACCACTGATGCGTACGCTACAAGCGTATAACTATAGCTTACCATACTTTTTAAGAGCGACAAGGATAGTAGATCGGTTATCAGCCGGCGTGGACGGGCTAACTATTAAGATAAAAGGGACGGATAGATGTATAGCAGCTACGTGTTCAGTATCCGGTATTCCTGTTGAGAATTTATGTTTTATGAGGTGTACAGCAAGCGGCGATAACGCGCGGTCAACAGCTGACCTCTATAATAAATATAAACTATTATAACAAAATTATTTTAGATTTCATAATAACATTTGTCTACTACACTACAACTTGTACCTGCAGTGGATCGAGGCTCTAGTTTCAAATGCCTAATGAATAAACATTCAACTTGCAACGCCTACATGCATAACACTTAAATAGACGGTCTATATTTAGATAAAGATATTTATAGTTCAAAATGTTGTCTTACATAAAAATTACCTTTAGCAACACCTTGCAATGGAACGTGCAAGAATGTTGGATAACTATTACCGTACCAACAGCCTGATGTATTAATAAAAAAAAACTTTAATC